CCCCAAAACCCCAAAACCCCAAAACCCCAAAACCCCAAAACCCCGTAACGCAACTAGCTTACTGAAAATAAGATTTTTGGGGTAAGTGAATTTGACATACATCACTTCTGGTGAAGTTTTATCCTGAAATTACATATTTAGTTTTCCACTCCCCATGGCTTGAGGATGACTTTTCCACCACTCATGTTGTCTTCGTAGAAAGCAATGGCATCCTTGATGTCTTTAAGGTCGTATTCCTTCTGGATTTCTGAAGAAAGATCGTTTTGTAGCATTCCCTTTACCTTCCTAATGATAAAGATCAAGGAAAGTAGGTTTTTAGATTCTACCCAATGAGTTAGAAGGAACCCTTTGAGTATCAACTGATTGTTTATGATAGAGAATGGGTCAATCTCTGATACATTTGACCTCGAAAGGGCTCCATAAAGAACTACTTTGGACTTCTCTGGCATTACTGATAAAAGTTTTCCACACATGCTTCCTATAAAGAGTCAAAAATTGTACGTACCAGCTATACATTCAAGGAGATGCTTGCAGTTGTTTTCTTTAACAGTGTTTTTGAATTCTTCAAGGAAGCCATCATCTTCAGTGTTTAGCACAATCAGTCTGCCATTATCGAGTGCTTCAGGAAAGGCTTTATGAAGTTCTTCTCTCTGAGTCTCTTTCCTAACAGTAGAGATTACAGTGACATCATTGCTTAAGAGTCTCGTGATCATTTTTGCTAATTGTGAAGCCCCAGCTGTAAGAATGACAGATGTTCCTCTGTCCTTTCTGACTTCTTCCTCAAGTCCTACTGCTGTCATTGGGTTAACAAAGAAACTTGCACCAGCGCTAAATGATACATCATCGTCAAGAGGAACGCATTGATAAGCATTAGTAATAGCATATTGAGCATAGCATCCTCCAACCTTAATTTCTCCCCCTGTTAAGTCTTCATTACATTTCGAGAAGGCTACTCTCTTACCATTCAAGTACCAAGCATGGATGCCACCTCCAGACTCTATTACAGTGCCTGACCCTTCCCATCCTGGAGTAAATGGATATTTGAAATCAGCAAATTCTCCATATCTTCCCTCCATACAGTAGATATCGCTTGGGTTTAGTGGAGCGGCTTCAACTCTAATCAAGACCTGGCCTCTGCCAGGTTTGGGCCTCTCTAGGACTCCATACTCAAGCTTTCCTTTGCCTTTGTCAGTGAGATATGCAGCATGCATCTGGGTATCGTCAAGGTTTTCTACATAAGATTAGCATGAACGAGAATTATGAAATTGACTTACTGTTTTCTTCCATTTTAGTTATTCTTCAAAATTTGGATATTTTTAAGGGGTTTTGGGGTTTTGGGGTTTTGGGGTTTTGGGG